CTACAAGTTAAAAAATTTAGCGATTTCCATATCAATTCACCAATGTGAACAGACCAAACGAATTCGAAACCGAAAACAACTCGCAGCTACGAGCTCGAGCATCTCCAACAACAACAACGCGCGAATAAACAAAACCAACACCCTTTTTCGCACGCAAACGATCCCAGAAAAGAAATCCTCTCCCTCTCGGCTTCTCAGATCCACGGGGGGAAAACAAACGCCAAAGCAGCTACGAACAAAAACAAACAAACAAACAAACATCGCCGAACCAGAGCATCTCAAAGCGCGAGCAACGAAGAAAGACACACGAACCCCCGCGCCTCACCTCGGGCGAATCCGATCGCCGGCGGCGGCGGCGGCGGCGGCGGCGGAGGAGCGGAGGTCAGGAGCGGGGGCGGAACCGGAATGCGGCCATGGCGAGCGCCCGCGAATCGCCGCTTCTTCTTCTTCTTCTTCTTCTTCTTGGTTACGAATGAGGAGGGAGGTTGGCCCTTAGCCTACGCGAGAGCGAGAGAGAGAGAGAGAGAGAGATGCGCGGGTTTTATTTGTGAGCGAGAAAATACAATAAAAAAAGCGGAGAAAACAAATTAAATAAATTCAATTAATAAATCTAATATTTAATTTTTTTTAGAAAAAGGGAAAAAGAGGGAGGGAGGGAGAAAAATCGGATGGTGGAGAAGAGAGGGGTGACGAGAGCGGGTCAATCACTCAACGCCGCCCCTCTCTTTGTGCAACAAAAAATCTAAAGAAAACGTGCACCGCTTTTTGACATAGGAAAGCCATCCCTCCCACCCAAAAAAAAAAAAAAAAAAAAAAAAAGGGCAGCGTAGGAAAACCAAACTGAATCAATGGGATTGGGAATGATTTTGACTGGTCCAGCGATGGTGAGTGGGAAGGGGGGGGAATTCGATTCTCGGTGGTACGATCCGGGACGATATGCCATGAGGGAATCGTTGAGATTTTGAATGATGGAGCGAGCCCGGAAAAGATGTGATCTCGATGTGTTGAGGGTATTTCTAAATGCCGTTATTCTTTTGGTTATGCAAGTAAGATATTTCGAGTGGGTTTTTGAAGTTGGGAATTCTTTAATTCATACGAAGGTATGGTTCGTCGTATAGATAGTATCAACCATCGGGCCTTCGGGAGGCCTTCGGGAGAAGAGGTGGGAAGTTTGATTCCCCACTACTTTTTCGGGAGGCTAGAGGTGGAGATGCATGAGTGAGGAAGCTGGGTTTCGATACCTCCACACAACGCATAGCGCACACACACACCGGCTTGTAAAACATATATAGAACCAAATAGAATAATAAATAATATCGAGTAGGTCAATATATGAATGTAGAGTGAGGCACATGTAGCAAAAACGGGTGCTAATACGAATCTGTTTAAAAAAGAAACATTAAATGCGCGAATGATAACTATTATATTCTAGAAATCAATTTCTGGTCTTTATTTCATGGACGAATTTTTGAGCAAAAATACGTATTTGACAATTACACAAAATTTCTGCTTCCTATATAGAAATTCGTTTGATAACGGCACGAAATTTCTCTCTTCTAAGTAGTTGGCGAGCGGGTGGTGGAGGACGGCGGCTGGCAGCGGAAGTTGGCCGATGGGTGGTGGCGGAGGACAGCAGTGGCAGGCGGCTGGCAGTGGAGGATAGTAGCGGGAGGGGGCAGGCGACGGCTGACGTTGAGAAGCGACGGAAGATGGCAGTGGCAGAGGACGACGGTGAGAGGCGGTGGCGCGGCTGGCAAGCAGCGGGTGGGCGGCCGATTAATAGTAAGGGCGAGCGATGATAATAGTTTTTATTTCTCATTTCTGTTCCAGAAATTGAAAAATAAAAAATTTTACTTCTGATTTATGTTCCAAATCTATTTCTGGGGTAGAAATTTATTTCAGAAATAGGAAAATGAAATTGTGTTACCAGACGGGTATCTATTCCACACGTGGTCCTGGGAATAGAATAACAAAAAAACACGCCATAAACTTGCAAACACAAGTCGCAACCTGCCAACATGCAAACTTGCGCAATAATAGAGAGAATTCCTTTAATGTTTTAAGAATATTGTGTGAAATCTAATCAATTTGACCGATTAAAGCGAAACAAAATCGCTCAAGATTCTAGATATTATCTAAAAATCAAATAGATATCTAAATAAAGCAAAATCATAAAGTGGCTAGCTGTGATTTTGTCTAATCATCTTTCCAACTTCAGATTGTTTTTGATCTAGGCAAAGCAACTAATATAGTTTCCTTGCAAATCAAGTTTCGATGCAAATGACATACTACATTTGACCGGATCGAAGAAATGAACTGAGCTCGTACTTAAAAGCTAATCCAATACATCACAACACTCAAGAAAGTTCTAAAAACGGGTACTTCTCGATTTCGTATAATATTATTTTTGTCCAAAAGATGAGATAACGAGAGATAATCTCAGTTTCCTTCTCACCTTTGGCATTTCATCGCATCGAGAAATTGTTCATGCACGCAATTGATCCGTTCGAATCGATTTTTACATTTCATTTTTTCTTTCTTAATTAAAATGTTGCGCACTGTAATTCGAAACCCTTGAAATTTTGATGACAAACAGATATTAACACGTAAATTCACGAGCAATCTTTTCGGATAATTTATTTGAAATTTTATAAGATATTTCAGATTTTGGCGGAAAAGGAACTTTCAACATTTTGCTAAATCTGGAACGAACATGCGTGCAAGTCAACTTTGATTTTCCACATTCGAAGGCTTAGATTGCAAGCAATCCAACCCAATTAGGTGTCAGAAGACTAATAAACCAAAACGATTTTGAATTAGAAATTAGCTTCAAGTTGAATTGCTTTTCTTTTGATGTGGAGCTTTGCTTGATTACGTATTCATAATTGAGTTCACATGCTTAGACTACAAATTTTACCAAAAATGACCAGAAATAAAGTTCCGTTTGTTTCGCGAAAAAATGAATCATTTAAAAAAATATTTTTCCAATTACTGGGACATATGGCCTAACTAAAATCACGTCGACCAAACTTTTTTGGCTAAATCGAGCTGCCTAATTTTGTCTTAGTTTAGGAAGAGAATTTTGTTTTTAAGAAAAGCAAACATCGAGAAATTTAATTTACCAGTACTTAAACAGATAAGTGAAGATGACGCCCGTATAGAAAAGTCTGACCCGGCTCTTTTGCATGTCGAGTTGCAATATAAAGCATTAGGTCAATACATGGAATCTCAACTTTTTAGGCTCCGTTTTGTTTCGCGAAAAATAAATGATTTCCAAAATATTTTCTTTAAAATGATCGATCTATCGCTTGCAAAATTGAATAAACGAAAAAAAATTTCATCTTTCACGAAAATATTTAAACATAAATTATTATCGATAATGATAATTTTTTTCATTTGCTAATTATTTCTCGATGAAATCGGATGCATTTGGGTCATTGACGCAGGATGGTGATGGACAGCCGAGAGCCCACGTCCACCCGAAATCGAATTATTTTGCACGGGCATTATTAGCTGCTTTGTTAGATTCTTAAATCAATTTGGAGGTCCATGATTTTTTTCACTTATTAAAAGTTGATCAAATTGCTTTAAGAAATTGATAGTTTGACTTGAAAACTTTTAGTGGCCTCTCGTAAAGGAAGCCTTCTTTAATCATGCAAAGGACGGATTCAATGGAGTCAAAACGAGATGAAAAAGTAACTTTAATGAAAAAAAAATTTCACGAGGAAACAATTTGGAAAATTGATTTATGATTATGTTTTCCCTTTGTCAACATTAACAAGTATGTGTGAGGACATGCCAATACTTTGAAGAGTAAAAATTATCAATGGAAGCTAAATGGCGGCGACCCGGGTCGGGTCCGGTTGTTGCCCTAGCTCGAAAGCCGTAGAAACCCTCGACGGGCTAGGCCCGTGGAGCCGGGGGGGGTCAAACAATTGTGGATCCGACTGTTGGTGACCCGGAACCGGTCATCAAGCTCTCGGGTCTAGGGTGCGACATCTTCCGAATTACACCTTTGGAAAGTGTTAAAAGTTTTTTCCAAGGATTTTGTATAGATTTTCCAGAGTATGAAAACAATTTTCGATGACTTATTCTCCTAGAACGCGTCGAGGAGCATTGGAAGATAAGAAGATACTTTCGGATCATAGTTTTTCAGCGAAATAAGCAGACCCGTGTGCCTTTTTCCGGTCGAATCATAAGATTTCCTGAGAAACTTATCCACACGAAGGGAGGCCAAGTGGACTGAACGGGGCTGCAGCAGCACAAGAGGTACAAAGACACCTGAGAAGAGTGGAGCCCCAGATGATATCCCCCAAGCAGTTGATATATGGACCACAGTGCATCTCTCAGGACTGCCTCTACTTTAGTCGTACCCGGATTTCCCGAAGAGATCGATGCCTTGCATCGATGCGTTGTCCCGGTCCGTCGCCACCAGAACAAGCTCACATAACGGATCAACGTGGACGTTAAACTACCGTTCAGCAGGAATACTCCCAAAAACACAATCAACGTCGACAGGAGCTGAAACTATAGCATCGACTAAATATCCGATTCGCGATGCTTCACGGGATCTGCGATGCAAGTAAAATCCCCAGGCAGAGGATTCGGGCATAGATCAACGTCTCAATCTCAAGGGGGGGCAAAAAGAATGAAGAGCTGGCATTGAGCAGGGAAATCTTGACAGAGGAGTAGCTTTCGGTTAGGCCGGGAAGCGACGAGGAGAAGAGCCGGTTCCGAACTTCGCAGCTAATCTGCTTTCGTGACGCATAAGCGAAACACAACGACAATCACTAGTAAACTACATGAGCCCACAGCCGCCAAATGGCATGACATCCTTCTCTCAGCCAAGCAGAAAGGATCATGTTGTGCGTATATTCCAAAACTTGTCTAATGCGACTGGCGATAAAGAGCTTATCGTCTCATCTTTCTCGAAGTTCCTCGAAAGCACCACGATTAACAACGACTTAAAGAGCTTGTTGAGAGAGAGAGAGAGAGAGATATGTAACAATAGGAACTTCCATATGCTAAGCAAACGTCGAACTATTACTTACACACGAAGTTACCGAAGTCCAAATTCAGAAAACGCCCACCAAGGGACCAATGTCCGGTAAGATGGGGCATACCTTACTATAGGCTCCATATCATTTTGATGTCTGTTCCTAAAACCAAGCCGCCATACATTCGATACCAACATTAAGAGTTCTAATTAGGACCAAAATCAAACCACAGTGTAGGAGACTTTTGTCATGCCTTTCTTCACGCGAATTTGCGAAACCTGAACAATTATCGAAGAGCCTTAGAACACAGCAGGCTATGAAACATTGAAAAACAACATAACCGATAAAAGTCAAGAGAAATTGGACTTGATTCTAATAGTTTTTCTAGTGTCATACAAGACCTTGAGGGGGTATATTCTCATCGTACTCTTGTTTTCAGTTGTAAAGTAATAGAGTAAATTAGATCAGATATTAACAATCCCATAGTTATTATTCAGAAAATGTGCAGCTGAATACTTGCCTTCATGCTAATTATCTCTGATAGATTATGAACATGGGTACCACCACATGGACAACCAGGATTACTTCCCAATTTCACAATGCGAGGAGTGCTTTCCTGCAATAGTTGCAATATATAGGTTATATCAAATGCTTTGCATATAAACAATGGGAACAACCAGTAACCATATGGGCAAACAAGATGAGTTATGTACAATATACTTCACGCAACACACATCTACAAGTAGCAACCGGAAACCGTAAAATGAATGATATTCAAATCTTCTTTTGGAGCCTTGCAGTATAAAACTATTGAGGCCCTGTTTGATTCGTTGGAAAGAAACAAATGAAATGAAGTAAAAAGAATCAGAATAAACATTTGGCAATCTGAATTGTAAATAAAGTTTAAACTATCATGCTTCGTAACACCTTGGAATCGGAATGGAGGTTTTTATGATTGGAAACATGATCGAAACTTATTATAACAGAGAAGCATATACTACAAATTTACATCAAAAGTTGCAAAAAGGAATTAAATAAAAGGAAAAAGAGAGATATCATGCCACATTTCTTGATTTAATTGTTGTCATGCCATAAAATGTTTTGCTATCTATGGAATTTCCGTTTTTTATTTAGTCATAGCAATTCCTTCAAATTCATTCACACCTTTCCCCCACACTAATGAGAATGTGGCAATGAAGTCTCTTTTGTTGTCAATATCCATTTCATTCCATGTTATTCCGAGTCACCAAACACCAAATGAAAATGAATGAAACATCTCATTCTCATTTTAATCTTCTCATTCCTAGAAAACGGGTGTGCCAACAGATTGTCAAGGCATTTATATGAATATTTAATGGTTTGAGTGAAAAATAGAAAACTGGCACTAGGCAGCACATTACTTTTTATTAATGTTATTAAACCCCATACCAGTGTAAAAGCCAGTCAATGCAGTTCAACAGGTTAAACCGACAATTCCATTTCCAGATGTTAGACAAGTAGGCAAACAAATGCTGGCCAGAAGGAATGGCAGGGAAGCGCACATGTTATGGGGGGCGCAAGATTGATTCCCATCAGCACCATCTCACAAACTTTTCCAGTGGGAGTAACTAATTCATTCTTTAGATGAATAGACTTAACTCTTTCTTATAAACATCAATGGGGTCTCTGGTAGTGAGTAGAAAGTTTGGCTGCTGGTTATGCCCAGTAATCCCAAGGGGAGAGTGGTTCGATTCCCGATCCTTGCATTCACTCTCACCCATCAAAAAAGCTCTAGAATGGTCAAACCGGGTTCACCAGTTCGTCTAGTTGAACTGGGTCAATGCAAATTGTAATCTGTTTTGTACCAATATCATTTGTGTACGTAAGCAGAGTAGCAGATCAAGGACCAGTTCCACCAATTGAAATATCTGGTCTGGTCCTGTTGTGGAAACCTTGCTTCTTATCACAAAGCATAAAGCTTAACAATGCAGGAAGATATCTGAATTAAAGGCCGCAGGGGCGATAGTTGTTGTATATGAACTGCTGACCTTGGGAATATAATCAGGAAGGGAACCGCCACATTGCTCTAAAGCTTCATCATAAGGTAATATCGCAGCAGAAACCTGTAAGGTATCGATAAAATGAGTAAGATTTTCATATGAAGCAACACGACCAACCATTAAAAGTCTATTTTTCAACAAAAGGAAAAGTAAAGTAGCATCTTACTTCCTCTCCTTTAGATATCAATGCATTAGCTTCCGTCTCCAATTCCTTCTGCTTGTTAGATATTTCACTTGGTGGAATAACGCCTTTATATTCAACAAATGGTCTGGAAAAAAAGTCTATCTAAAAAACAAGCTCCAGGCATCCAGCAGAAACAAGAAGCTTTACTTGTACAGAGAAACCTACTTCTGGAAAATCTATGCTGCAAGTCTCAAGAAGTAAAACAATATATGGGCTCACATTCAACAAATGGCCTGGAAAAAAAATTTATCTTAAAAACCATTCCAGGCATCCAGCAGAAACAAGAAGCTTTCCTTCTGAGAAAGCTACTTCTGGAACATCCATATAGAAGTCTCAAGGAGCAAAATAATATATAAGCTTGTACACCTTAATTTCGCCTATCTAGCAGGATCTTGCATTTCAATAATGTGAATGGCCTGGTAAAAATGATCATCGATGGTACCCTATTCCAATACCCAAATATCCAAAACAACATGTGAAAATGCCACATCCAGAAAATTTGAAGACCGATTGTAGTGCGTGGGCAAAAAGTGAAAAGTCTTAGTAAGCATAAATATAAGTAAACTGCACCAGTTACAAATTCTTATACTCCCACTCTTTGGATGAGTTTTCTGTTTTGGCTAATGACTCTTTGGATAAGTTTACTGAGTCTTAAAGCTTATGTCCAAAGTGCAATTGCATCCTACAACTTTACTTTCATGCAAATAACTCTTCTTTGGTGCAAATAACTCCCAAAACTTTTATCCAAAGATCAAGCAAGTCCTTCATTAAACTGGTCAGTTAACTTTCATGGAGATCCTACGTGTTGGGGCACTGCCACATATAGGAATCCGCTAGAGTTTAACACAATGACTTTATCCAACATTTCCTAAAGGTTTGAGGACTTAATTGAACAAATGGAAAGCTTTAAATAAAACTGCACTTCGGCCAAAAATTTTAGAACCCTTATTGTGATTATAGCATCAAATCGAGTTCAAGGTAATACACATTGAGGAAATGATGACTACCAAGCTAAAACTACGTATTATCCTCACATAACTACTGAATTGTGTAGGCTTTATTATCATGCGATTTTAGGTAGCTATGATACAACTAAATTAACTCATAGATCATACCCATCAGGGAAATGGTAACCCTTGCCTGGCTCCAAACCAAGTCCCACCCTCTTCATACATACGTCCAGTAAATGCCCAGCTGAATGCAACCTGATTGAGTCAAGAGATCATTGAAACAGACTCCATCATACCAGCAAAACAGCACCAAAGGGAATCCCAGAAGATTAATCAAGAGATTGCTGCAGATAATAGGGTTCAACTTTGACTCTTTATCATCTAAAACTTGTGCGATGCAACCATGCACTGAAAGTAATGATCATATGACCACGATTAGCATCAAACTCTGTTTTAACTTGGATTCAATTCAAAGACAGAACATGGTATCTAAAGGCCTGACGAAAGGGACATAGGATGCTGTTTCTTTTGATGTGGGAAATGCCAAATGCAGACAAAGCTATGTGACATAGCAAACATTATATGTTTCACAAGCATATGGGAACAAATAGTAAAGGGCAAAGAAATCACTGATCATCTAGACTATCTCATTGTTATTTTCTCGTTAAAAGATACCTGGAGTTGAGCTTGCGCCTAGGTTCGTCCACGCGCAAGTGAACCTCCTTTCCTTCCTCAAATTCCACCACACCGCCCTCAGCCAAATCCTCAACGTGACCATAATGGTAAACCTAGAGGAGAGCAAGCAACACAACCGACGTCAAGCTTGACTACTAAGAAATCACAAGAAATTTCATCAGAAAAGCATAACACGACTGAAATGCCGCCGGCCCTACAAGTCCATCTTTCAACCGGACATCTTCCACGGCAAACTTCACCTCCCGATCATCACCTTCGACGGTGATGAAGCCCATATCCGCCGGCTGCCCGCCGCCTTGGGGATGGAAGATCGTAGAGTCCAGCACCAAAGCACTCCGACCATCATCATCCTTCCCAAAAAAAAAGAACAAATCAACTTCAAGATTGATCGGTCAATACCACTTTTTCAACTCGATCACACGGAGACTACATTTGCTGCAGCAGCAGCTACGACAAACCCACCAAAAACGGAAGATACCCAGATAGCCATTCGGCGAGAAACAACGCATGGAATGCAAATGCGCGAACATACCGCGGGCTTTCTTGGATTTCTCAGAGGCCGGAGGAACGGGAAGCGACTCACCTCGAGGAAGGAGACGACCGTGGACTGGGAGACGAGCCTCCACATGTCGGCGTAGTAGTCGAGCTTCGTCACGCGGGAAGTCATGGCTTCCGGCGGCGAGCCTCGGCTGTCGAACTGAGTGAGTTGCTGCGAGCGAGCGATGGGTTTGCCTCCATTAGCGTTTGCCCCCCTAAATATTCTTCATTTTGCGTCAAGGGTACGAGGAATCAATATCGGCGGCCTGACAAGAAAGAAAGTTAATTCTCTCTTGAAAAGCTACGAATGATGCCGTGGAAAAAATCACAATACGAAACATTTTACCCAAGATTTTCGTATCACTAAAATTCTCGAACCGATGCACTTGTGTCGTATTTATCCAAGATAATTTTTTAATTTCACGAAAAATCTTAAATTGGTACTAAACCTATACTGCTTTACCCCGGACTTTCATATCGCCAAAATTCTCATAATCGGCCTTATTTACCTGTTTCTTATCGTTTTAGTGTCCGTAAAGTATTCAATTCCAAAACCCAACTCTATTAACGTGGGTTCGAGCCATTTTTTTCCTTTTTTCGCCAGAAATGGAGTCCGTTGATCAATTCAATTTAAGAAAAATCGTCTCGTCTATTTCCTTCACTTCTCGGATCTCAAGCTCAAATCATTAGCTTTTTTTTTTTTTGGGACGAAAATACGCTGAACTTTTCATTAGACACTAGAAATTGACTCACATGAGTCTCCACAATCATAACATAAGAGAGACCAAAGGGTACGGGGAGGTTTAGAAAACCAATTTGGAGTTAAGGAATGAGTACGCTGGGCCTTCGCCACCCAATCCGCGGCCTGGTTTGAGTTTCTGGGACAATGGGCTAAAAATACCTCTTTTAGTTGGGCCATCAATTTTCGGCAGTCTTCAACCACTGAACTCACGGTCCACGGGCTCTCTTCTTGGCCCGAGATCCACCTCACGCACGCTTGGCTGTCTGACTCTACTTCCACGCACAGATCAGAGAAGTCACTGTGCAGATCACTTTCCCTTTCCTTTTGACTTTGAAGCTTCAACAGAAAGGAGAGTCCGTCGCGTAGAGCAAGGGTTTCCGCCATGCTAGCTGATGGAGCTCTAAAAGACCTCGCGAACCCAAAAATTAGGAGTCCATCTTGGTTCCAGAGGACTCCCGCAGCCGCAGCCGCAGCCTCTCGTGTTTCGCTGCACCAAGCCGCATCGACGTTCAGCTTGAGGTTCCCCTTCGCCGGCGGAGACCAACGATCTACTAAGGTTTTCAACTGTTGTGTTCCTACCTTTTTGTTTGTGTTCCACCTCTCAAACACTTTATAGTCACTTATTGCTTCTTCCACTATGTTCCATGGGTTCGGTTTGCGCTGCTGGAATACCAAGGCGTTTCGTGCCTTCCAGATCAACCATATTATGCCAGCCACTATCGCCGACGAGGGAAGGTCTTCCGAGGAGGAGTGGGTGTCACACGGCGAGGGAGGGTCTTTCGACAGTTAATCCGCAAGCCACTTATCCATTCTAGAAATTTTGGTAGCTGAGGTGTCTAGATTTAACCGAGAGCCTAACCAAACATTTCTTGTCCAATCGCAAAGGAGGAGCAGGTGTTCGGGGATCTCCGAGACTCGGCGGCAGATCGGGCAGAGGGGATCAGGTGCCATCTTTCTTCTATACAGATTTTCTTTTGTCGGTAGAGCATTTGTGCATATGCTCCATAAGAAATGACGAACCTTGGGGTAGACTAGGATTTGCCATATTTTAGTCCATAAGTTCCTGGGAGGCTGATATGATGGTGATGCTTGATTCCTCTGTTGTTGTGAAATTTGGGAGCATAACCTATTGTAGCCACTTTTAACCGAGTAGACTCCTTTTGTGTTCCCTGTCCACACCAAAGTATCCTCCGAAGGGTTTGTGCTTAATGGGATTGTCAGTATTTCTTGCACCACATCTTCCTCGTAAATTTCCTTTATCAAGTGTGATTTCCATTCATGAGTTTCCTGGTTAATCAGTTCTGCTACTAATTTTGGTGCCTCCTGGTTCAAGGGGCCAATAATTTTGCCGAAGGGAGCCACCGTCCTCTTTAATTTTTATCTTTTTGCCGTCACCTACTTTCCATCTAGCATCTCGCTTCAATTACATCTCTCGCCCATTAATAGACTCGCCACCCCCCAGGATGGGCGATGGCCCTTGTTTGCTTGCCAAAACTCACCACGGGGAAAATAGACTCCCTTCAGTACTTGACTCCAAAGGGCATTCGGTGCTTGTATTAGTTGCCAGGCCTATTTTCCCAGCATTGCCTTATTAAAAACAATTAGGTCCTTAAAGCCTAAGCCACCCGCGTCTTTCCTAATTTTCAGAAGTTCCCATTTTCTCCAATGGATACATGCTTTGTCTGCACTTTGCTTCCACCAGAAGGAGGAAATCTTCTGCTCAATTGCTCGACAAATCGAGATAGGAATCTTAAAAATGCACATTGCGTACTGTGGCAAAGCTTGAATGACAGTTTTAATTAGGATCTCCTTCCCTGCTTTGGTAATCAGCTTTTCCTTCCACCCCTCTAGCTTCATATTGACTCTTGCTAATATCTAGGCAAACATTTGTTTCTTTGACTGCCCCCAATCTGATGGAATGCCTAAATACTTACCGGTTTTGTCAATAATAGGAACTCGTAGCTGCTCCGCCATATTCCTCTTCAGTAACTTAGGGCATCCATTGCTAAAGAAGATACCTGACTTGTTTAATTTGATAGCCTAGCCCGAAGCATAGCAATATTGGTTCAAAATACTTGCCAAATTCTGACATTCGCAGACTGTTCCATTCAAGAAAAAAATTGCGTCGTCCGCAAATAATAGATGTGATAATGTGGGACACCATCTATTCAGCTTTATACCTCTGATGGTACCCTCCTCAATTGCTTTGTTCATTAGAGACGATAAGGCATTGGCCAGAATAATAAACAAGTACGGCGATAGTGGATCCCCTTGCCTTATGCCCCGGGACGGCTGGAAGTCCTGTAGGGATTCCCCATTAACTCGGACGCTAAAAGAGACCGTAGATATGCATTCCCTGATTAACTGAACCCATCTGTTACTGAAGCCCATTTTCAGCATACTAGCACACAGGAAATCCCACTCAACTCTATCATAAGCTTTCTGCATGTCCAGCTTGAGTATTGCTTGGAACTTTCTTTCCCTTTTCCTAGTACGCAATTGGTGGAGTACTTCCTGAACTACTAATATGTTGTCTTGAATCTGCCTTCCACTCACGAATGCACTTTGTTCAGTGGAAATAAGTTCAGAAGGCCAAGGTTTTAGACGGTTGGCCATGACTTTAGAAATGATTTTGTAACTGAAATTACATAAGCTGATTGACCTATATTGATTAATGCACTCGGGGTTCGCCACCTTAGGAATAAGGGTTATAGAAGTATGATTTAGGGTGGGGTCGAGCACACCTGAGGTGAAGAAATTATCCACCAAACGGTAGACATCATGCTGTATACTCTCCCGGTTATGCTGATAGAATTGGCCATTCAATCCATCCGGATCGGGGGCCTTGGTTGCACCCATTTGGAACACAGCTTTTTTCACCTCTTCAAACGACACTTTTCTCATTAAGGCCTCGTTCATCCCCTCTTTTGGAGTATATGGGCATTGATCAATTACTGGTTGGAAATTTCTGTGTCCTGTTGACTCATATAAATCCTGATAAAATGATTGGATATGTGACTTGAGCTCTGAAGGATCCCTGCTCCATCTATTCTCCCCCATTTTCAGCATAGAGATTCTGTTTCTTTGTCTTCCTTGAATCGTGGTGGCGTGGAAGTAATTGGTATTTCTATCTCCCCACTTTAACTAGCTAATTCGGGACCTCATACTCCAATACATCTCTTCTTGCCTCCATAGTCTCTCAATTTGCTCCTTGATTTGTTGAATGGCCACTTTTTCCCTTCCCCCATCCATACTGTTTATCAGGTTCGTTAATCTCCTCATCAAGCATTGTATTTGTTTATGTGCATTTGAGAATCTCCTTCTACTCCACCTAGTCAAGGCTTCAACCACTTTTCTGGACTCACTCACAAAATCTACATTATCGTTTGCCTGGTCATGCCATGCCTCCTCCACAATGTCTCTACATTCTGGGTCATCTAGCCAATAAGCCTCGAACCGGAAGTCATGGTAAATTTTTTGTGACATGAATCGTTTGGGGTAAATGGAGCATGAATGTTTTGATTTGAAATTTTTTGTGATACGAAAATTAATTTAGGATATACGTGACACGATCCAAACGGTTAAGGGTTTTTTCGGGCGTGCCATTTCTGGATTTTTGGTATAGTAATATTAACCCCTAATGATATTGTGACATGTGTATAATGAACATCTCATCAATCAAAACAGTTTAAATTCCAACAACTTTCGCGCAACTAATTGCTTTTATCAATTGCTTTTTATCAACATATGCTTTTATGTTGATTGTGTTTAAATTCCAATTGTCGGCCACAAAGAATAATATTTGATAACATCAAGACAGCAACGTTATAAAATGGATATAAAACGATGTACAATTTAATTCTTGGCAATTTAATTCTAAAAGAATCTATCATGGTTGTCCGTTCAATCCGATTTATAGAAATTCGCAATCCAACTTTTTTTAAGAATCAAATTGCAATTTTAGAACAATCGGGTCAGGGGCATTCCATTGATACAAAAAATCGAGTTAATGAGACGTTGTACAGAGAGGTTATGTCCGATCAAAGTTTGGCCAATTTGAATAAAAATATATATATAATCATTGTTTTCCAAAATCTTTCCAATATATGATTTGAAAGCTATAAACCTCACATCATTTCATCCAATTGGAGCTAAACTTTCTCAGTGGTTTCCTTCCTTTAGATTTACTCCATCAACTCCAGTTTTTGCAGCACGCTTAGAAGTTAGAACTAGCTGGAAGTTTAAAAAGTAGTGGTTCCACATTAATTTACCAACGTGAACAGAGCAAACAAATTAGGTAACCAGAAAACAACTTGCTATAAACGGCGTCTCCAACAATGAGTGAATAAAAAAAAGGAAAATGACTCAAACAGTCCATGAACTTTAGCTCAATATGTAATTTGGGCCTTGAACTTTTAATTTATTCAATATAGTCCCTAAACTTTAGCCTAATGTTCAATGTGGTCCTATCACGCCCCAAACCTCGAGCGTGC